ATAATAATTATCACAAACAACAGCTATGCCGAGGTTAAAGCAAGAGAGGAGTTGGAGACTTCCAATATTATTTGTTGCGTTCTACAGGAAGTAGGGGTGCTGCTCTCAAATCGTCTCTAAGCCTTCTTGGTATGTGGGATCAAGGTTGCAGCAACATATTATGAAACTTTTTGCCCTGACAAGAAGGTAGGGTCATCTTCGGATCTTTTATGAATTCGTCAGAGGTGGACAGTACTATTGGGATAGCTGGTAAAAATCGGTTTTGTTGTACTAAATACATTAGAATGACCAACATATTTTGTCACTGGGAGAAATCGTTTCAAGACACCAACACTTCTCAAGGAAGGGAGTAGAATTGTATTGCCTACAAAATAAGGAAGGTTCTCTTGATTGAATCGGAAAAATAAGAGGGAAACCTCCTGATATTAGCTTTGTGTGGTTGTGAGATAAATTCATTGAATAATCCCACACTCCTCAAAAAGTACAAAGTACAAACTATTCTTGGCGAACCTCTCTCTCTAAAAACAATTCACGAGTCGGAATAGAATGAGCCCGAAAGAAAACCGGAGAAGATGCACACGTTGCTACATACAAATATCATCACGAAAAAAAAGATCGTGCTTGCGGATCGTTCTGGGCAGGTCTCGTCAATATGCATCTACATGATATTACGAGTACTTTCGAATGTTCTCTAGCTTCGAATATTTCCCTTGAAATATGCGCAACTAAATAATCAATAATAACTGTTAGAATTGAATAATAACGCATGATCTTACTCATTTTAATACTATCCTTACATGAACCATTCTTTTCTCTTAAATGTAACTGGAAGTAATGATTCTTGGCTCTCTACGCCTGAAACTTCTTCAGAGGGTTCATAGCCTGACTGATGATTGCCGCGTCAAAAAATTCAAAGGAAGACAATTGAGAAGAAAATTTCTCTGTGACTCGCAGATGGGCTATGCGGAATGGTTCGAGACATTCTTTGCGCACTTGGGTCATCATCAGAATGTAATGCTGGCGGAGCCCATTGTGTGATACAGCTTCCACAGCGCTCCTAGTGGTAAAAGGGCGGAACGAGGCACGCTTGGGGAAAATTTTCATAAAGTTCGCAGCAGTCTTTGATGAAATCGAACGTTATCATCATGAAAACAATTAGAATTCAATCTTGAAATCATGGTAAAAATCCACTTCCATATAAATCCATCACATGGAAGTGGGAGGATGCACCAAAGTTCTCTTTCGAGGATTGTCTCTGTTCACAGTGACAGTTCAATTGTAGGGTTTTATATGTAGTCAGTGCTTTTGCTGCTTCGAGAGCAAGGCTGGGTGTCGAAAGGTGGTCGTTGGGGCTGAAGAATCAGTGAGGCGTTCACAGAGCCGTATTATTCGCCCACTTTCCCTGCTACAACCCTAAGAACGTCGATATCCGCCGTTTTCAAGTAGTTTTCCAGTAATTTAACCGTTATTATTCTCATATCAGAAACAATGCACATTTCTATCCATTGCATAGACGTAGGGTGCCCTTGTCGACTACCATGCTCTCAGTGCTACAAAGTAATGTTTGTTCTTCTTTTTTTAAATTTTTTCCTATTAAGTAGTATAAACGCTTTTATAATCGCTCTAAAATTATATGTCGGTAAGGCTAATGAATCTTAAGTAGTTTAGTTGATAAAGATCCCATGTGCACAGAAATTTTTTAAAGGTGTGTACTTGCACAGTTAAAGCCTTCTTTCCCTGAGCTCACATGCTCATGCAGTTTTAAAATAATTATTGAAATGAGCCCAGATATTGCACATAAGGTAGCGGCATTCTCAGCAAAGTCAAGAGTGCGTTCAGTGATTCCCTAGTAGATAGACTTGGATATCGAGGCAACCCGAGTTGGCTAATAACTTCTAAAAACTCAAAAGATGTTTCAGAAGTTACTTCTTCAAGTGGTGCTTGTTTTATTTACATATTCATTGATTTGGTTGTTTTTCAGTTATTTGGAAGCAAAATTTAGTGTTTCCACCAGTAGGATTGCGGTCAATGTAATCGCATAATCCCAATAGTAAAAATAAATCGTTAGAATGATCCGATACGGTCATCTAGACCTAGGTAAGTCAGTCCCTACGAAGGGCGTCGGAAGAAAAAGTGAGCACCTATGCCATCCATCAGTTATGTATTAAAACTACCACAATATTTGATACTGCAAAATATTTTGTATGCACATTGTTAACTGCACCATGGAAACACTAGCGAGAAGCATTTGAAAGCGGCTTCTGGCGAAAACTGCCTTGATACAAGTCGCATTTCCCCGTATCTCTCTGGTTCCTATTTGAATGATATCGAATAAATAGGTAAAGTCAAGATGTCAGAAAAACCTTTTATTTATTCAGACCTCAACAATGTCTACAAAAATAAAAGATTTAGCGGACAAAGTTCGAGGATGGAAACTCGTCCAAAAGACCTTACCACGGATCATCGAATATGGTAGAGCCGAAGGAATTCTTCAAACTGGCCCTGTGAGTACTTGTTAGTAATTATCACCGCATGTGAAAGCCTTTTTTATATATCTTCACAATATTTTAATTGAAATTGGAAACATCCTCTCACGGAGTATCGCACTTTGAAAGTGAAGAATCCAATATTACTCGAGTTCCATCAATGTAAATTTGCATGGGAAAAGGAGAATATTAAGCGCAATAAAGTCAAAAACTGAAGTTCAAGAGCTGAGAGACGGGATTATTTAAGTGACTTCCTATACATATTAATGGAAGTGAAATGCTCCTGACTATAGACCCTCATGTGTCACTTTATCCTAGGGATGGCAAACATGACTCTGTTCACGTGAATGGGTGTTTCCTAGGTGGTTTCGAGTTAGGTTAGAAACGTATTACTGCGACTACTCAAAATATTTACATTGCTTACAAATCAGATGTGTTTAGATGTATATATCAACCCAGAGAAATCCCAGAGAATCAGATGTATATATCAACCCATGCATAATGAGTAGTTATGTACAAGATCTTCCCAAAACAAATCCTAATATGGCATCCAACTGAAGTAGCCTGCTCGCTCGATATAGTAAGTAAGCTTGAATTTATATGTACAACATCTGTATCATCTGTCGTCCCGTTGATCATCGATTTTCCTGAGCGGACGCCAGGTTCGAGCAAACGCCTGTGATTCTCACCCTCTTACACCCAGATCTTATCTGGAACAAGTCTGTATGGTCAATATTTCAGCCACCCAGCTCCCTCAACATCACGGGAGTCGTTTTGGCTGCTCAGGAAGAGGCTCATACTCAGAAAGAAACGAAGACAGGTGACAAGGTATGCAATTTCGATAATTTTCGGATACGAGATCAATATTTCTCTGTTTTCAACTCTTTTATATACTGCTCCAAATTTGTTCTCTACTGTTGAACTTCTTGATTAAGGTGAATCTACCGACGAATGACATCACAATGATGCACGAAGCCATACCTTTTCTACCAGTTCCTGTAGCTTTACTATGCTTTTTTATGAATTTTTTTCTTCCTGGCACAGGTGAGGAAAAAGATACTCGTACTTCTGCCTTTTCATGTTCTTGTATTTTCTGGATAACATCAACTCGGATCAAAGCATAACGCTTACTAGCGCTTCTCTTCACATTTGCTGAGCTCAACTACAATAGGAGGTTTCGGGGATGTAAATCAATAGATAGAATCGAAAGATGCTGAGCCAGTTTTCATGTGTCAGATGGTTGGCTGCATCCCAATAGCAAAACATGCAGTGCACGAGTTTATACCATTTTTCACAGCACGGCAATTTGATTGCCGTTGAACTACAAATATACTATGAAAGAGTTTCCAACCGGAGGATTTGCTCAATCATAATAAATCATCATCTGACCGCTCTCAATCCATGTCGAGCATTCCTTTACATGTTATTCGAGAAACAATATGTTTAAGACACTCTCATACTATATATTATTATAGATCATAAGCCTATAGATTAATGCCCATCCGTTCACGTAGAGCATTGCCTCTTGAATCTCTTGAAGTTGAAATGAAATCTAATCGTAATTTATCATATTCAGGAACGATTTTGTCCGGGTTTTCAGCATTATGCATGGGTCAACCACGAGTTAATCTAAAAGAAGGGCGGAAACTGGTTACTTTGGTAAGCGATCTTAATACTCATCCCCTAATTCGATGAACTACCAATAGGTATTACTTCTGACAATACTTACCGAAAGCTATGCAAGTAGACATAATTTCAAGGCTTCATGATTCCCTCCCTAAATGGCATCTGACTTCTACGACGAAATATTCATTTATGCATCTAGGGCGGAGCAAAGAGGGGGAATGAGGAGAAAATATAATGTTTTGAATTCATGGATAGCGCCATCACACTCCTCTCTCAGTTAGTATCGTTGTACCGAATCAAATGCCCATTTAGCCTATACCATGACTTACAGTGGCCAGATGATGTCCGAGTCAGGGCCTTTATCCTCCTGGACAAGTCTTGGATCAATCA